GAAGCGACTGGTAGGGCATTAACAGAAACGCAGTAAATTTTTCAGAAAAGGAGATATGAACTTCCCATAAAGCCCTGCTTTGAAAAGGAGGTTGGTCTGGATGACCCCCAGAGGCCCCTTACACTGAAATCTTTCGATGATTGTAATTCAGCTGCAGCCAGCGATGCTGCTTACATATCCCTCCACACCGCGAGCGAATCAATCAGGATGGCATCCAGAGAGCAGGGCAGAATGCTCACAGCAGCAAGTCTCTCCCCTTTATCCATCACCGGACAACATGTACAAAAGGGCAGGATTAGAAATATTTTTATATGCTCCAAACAAGACCTGTATTGTTCCTTATCTTTGTGTGGTTCCATATAATGTCATTTTCAAAAACTCCCGTAGGTCCAAATCAAATCCTAAGCCAAAGGGAAACCATATATTGCCTCACCTGATTAGACCCTCCACAGTTTATCCCTCCAGCTAATCCTGTTGCGTTGCCAGTTATGCAAAGAGCTCTTTGTTTTCATTGCAGACAAACTGCATTAGATAAGCGTACCAAAACCATAAGTATTTACAGATTCTGCCCAACCGTAGAGAACGATGTAAAACCATTTCAGTTAAGAACGGCTGATGACCTCAGTATTCGCATGGACCACAGATTGTTTTCTTCTCGCAGCAAACTCGTAACTGGAATTCAGAGCAGGCTAATTGACTTATAGTCCATCCAGGTACTTCTGGTGCACTAATTCTGCTTTTCACTTTCTCACTCCACATCAGAATAAATATGCCTTCATGTGTGGCACTGAGGAAAGGCAGACACAACCTCACTCATTCGGCTGATTTTCCCCAGGAATAAAAGAATGGAAATACTTTTGAGACAAGGCCTGTCAGTGCCGCAGCTCTGTGCTGGTGTCTCAGCAGCACACCAAAGGCTGTGCCATCGAGGCCAGCAGCTTCTTGTTCTGAGGACACACACAGAGGTTTTGTCCTTCCCATTCATTCCCCTGGCTTAAAAAAATAGCGTCGTTTCCTTCAGGTGGGCCAAACAAATTTGTTCTTCTTGTCCCGTTTCCCGTTTTCGTTCAGCCACCAGCCTAGAGAGCTCTCTATCCTAACTTATTTCCCCTAAGCGTTAGGCATGCAGACCCAGCATCGGCCCATTGCTTTGATTCCCCAGGTACCTTCGTGGGCTTCATGGGCGGACAGTTGAAATGCCAACAGTATATATCCGTACTCTTGCAGAAGCCCAGGTGCTTTCTCGGTGTTAATTCCCTTGCTTTTTGTTCTGCCCCTCCCCAAATCAACAATTTCCACCACTGATACCTGCCACAACATATTATCGATTCAAGAATTGGAAGCACAAAGGAGAATTTTGGGGCAATGCAAAATAAATGCAATATGAACGTAAAGAGCACAGAATAAACTCTACTGAGTACCTGGTTCATTTTCAAATTTCTGCCCTCAGACCCCTACACTTCTCCGCTTAGCTTGATCCCAAAGCACCTATAGGTACCACAAGGATGTGCTGTGGACCAAGCATGTAATTCGCTTTAAAGGTATCTTCTGTTTCTATTTCTTCCCTCTTTCCATTTGGTCTTCATTCTGTCCATTCCCTTTTTTTCCCTGCTCCCTCCAGCTGATCGCAGGGGCCAGACTAAAGACAGAGACAAAAATCCAGCGAAAGAAATAGGGTCAGGAGCAGCCTGAAATCGGGAGCTAATGAGGAAGAAACAGGAGGAACTTGAAGAGATGGGCAGTAGTGCACCGAGCAGCCTCTAGCTGGGCCAGGGCTGTAGACATTGATTCAAAGTAGAAATGCTGCCACTGCACTGCTGGGAGTAACTGTGGGGGCAAATACTCAGGATATCTTGAAAGTAAGATGTCATAGCAGCAGAGGATTAAAAATAGGTTGAAGCCCAATTTGTCTTCATAAGTTCTCAGGTCACCAGGCACTTGAGAAAAAGACCTTAAAGACACTGTAGAGCTGGGTAGATGGAAGAAGAGTGGTTTCATATGCTCAGGAGAGTATTTAAGGGACTTCACTCCAAGGGTGTCAAGCAGCAAGTTCGGCTACCGAGAGCTGAGCACAGCCCCTGCAGACGGGACGCGACGCTGCCGACCACCTCCCACGCACAGACCGTGGCACACGTGGACGTAAGCGCATCAGGGGATTAGAGATGGGGAAACATAACCCAAAGTCCAACTAGCGCGAAGGACTGACCCAACGTCATCGGTCTCTGCGCAGGTTGGGATCCGGCCCAAAATGAACCTCACGTGAATCACTGGCAACACCAGTAGCAAATGGTCTGCTGCGAGCCAAGTCCTGCAGAGCTCTTCGCTTGGGCTTCAGGGCTGCTTTAGCTATATAGGCGCTGCAGGGTTCAGCTATATAGCCCTGGGATTCAGTCTCAGCATCAGTCTGTAGCCAGCTATTGCTCTGCTTGGGAATAAGTCACAAGTCTTTTCCAAAATCCATTTTCCTGCAACAGCTGTTGCTGTAGCACTAATCACGTTTGGGCTGGCTACAAACGGCATCCTTCTACCTACTCCCGTCCACACGGATTCTTATTTAATGTTATTGGGGGGAGAAAAAAAAAATGAAGCTATTGATTTAAAAAATTTGCATTTCCCAATGAGAGCCCCAAAGGTGGCTTACCGCAGTCTGACAGCAGAAGAGCGGGCACAGGGAGGTTTTAAATCAAGTCCAAAAGGCAGAACATAACGCTTCCAATTTACTTTCTTAAAATGAAATGTTCGAGCTAAAAAGCCATGAATAAGCACTACTGAACACTGCAGCCACGAAAAAGAGATTTTTAAGCCATTCTCCCCCCCCCCGCTCCTTTATCTTGTCAAGAGACTGTATTTTCATTGTGTTCGTATGGTAATTTAAATCATGCTAGGGCTCAGAGCATACAGTGTAATTGTAAGTCGGCAAGGGTTTGAATGCCATCATTGCTGCGCAAATAACATCATCAACTCATCAGCTGTGTCAGTAACATTGCAATTATGTAAGCAACTATTATTTCCACCCCTGATATGCCATATTAGAACTTATTTTGGGGGCTGGAGCTGACAGGTATTCCATAAACATGAAAAGCACATAACAGCAGCCGAGCCATGGTTTGAGACAGGAACATCATTCCACTGGGGCTTTCTGGGGGCATCACCAGCAGCGCGGGCACCGCTGGATGGTCCAAAAGGAGCCGCTGTAAAACTTGTGGCTTTTCTGGTGCCCCCTTTGCCCTCATCCCACACCCTACCCATCTCCCGGGACCCGTTTCCCTTCTTCTTACCACCCTTTGTGCTCACTCAAATGCAAGCACTACCCCCAAACTAGAAAAGATGACTTTTATCTGCAGAAGAAACTTACGTAGACATTTTAATTTGGTCTGCTGCAGAAGAGTCTTGGGGGTTTGGTGGTGGTTTTTAATATGGCTAAGCCCCTGGACTGGAGCTTGGCACTAGGTGATTAGTCTTTCTGAGACTTCCCGTGTGCTTTTGGCCAGATCAATGATTTCCTAAGCTTTTATTTCAGCTTCTTAAAAATGAGGCTAGCATAATGATTCCTTTCTCTAATACTCCGCACGTTTATATGGTGAGCATGTCACAGTGGAGCCAGCCCGCGAGGCTGCCTTCAGAGAGCCCCCACCTCCCCGCGCTCCTCTCGCGATGGATCTCTTGGCAAAGGCCAAGAGCAAGCGCCCATCGACGTTCACCAGCGCGGTAGAAAACTCTTTCCCGTGGCATCGCGCGCGGTGCTACGCAAAGCCCACCCGCTGAAAACGTCACCCCCGCACGCTTCGCGGGGAGGAGGAGGCAGAGCTCCTCTCCCAAAGACCTTCTTGAGCCCTCGGCACCCCAGGGAGCCAGATGTAATTGCCCATAAACTTTTCTGCTTGCCTCTTTTCCTCTCTCACACACACGCACGCCCCTACCAACACAAACCATGGCCAGAGCGCGTGGCCCGGCTCCAAGCTGAGGAGCACTTTAGTAACAGCTCAATAGATGAATAAATACAATAGGAAGCGACGCTCAGATTAATTCACAGTCAGCTGTTCTGTGTTGTGCCTAAAGAAGCAACGCTCCGCTGAACGCGTGTCAGGATGATAGATTCAGACTTTTTCTTTTTCTTTTTTTTTTAAATATTTCGGCTTAAAACGCAATTGGAAGATTGATTCTTTAGATCCTCGTATTATATAGGGTCTAGGTCTTGAGTATAACTCATTGCGAAGGGAGATGATTCTCATCTTCACCTTACAGAAACGCTGCGTATCGCAAAAGCTGACAAAGGGTATGAATAAAGGTAAGGTATGGGGAAAGATAGCCATAAAATTATGAATGCCTGGTAGTTACAGAGTACCTGCACACAGCACTATTAATTTATATTTTTGGTTGCTTTGAAGTCACCCCTGCAAGGAAGATGTGTCTATCTGAATGTACTCTCTATTAGAATAATTACGTTTTTATTCTGGGGGTACACTGAGGTCATCTATTCTTTTACTTTATTCTCTAGTGTATTATATTCATGGGAAAACATATTTATTCAGAACTTCATTTTGATTTAATAGAAAAATGGTTCTTGCCACAGCAGTGTGGAATACTCATTTTTCTCCATGTGTTGATTTTCGGCATATAAATGCCAGAAGCTTCTGTTCTCTTTCCTTATCAAGAAAAACTTGCCTGAGATTAATTTCCTCATCATCCCTTCCTTTTAAAGTGGCTGTTTCTCAATGCCATTTAAAGACAGAGTTGTGATAAATTCCCGTTTTCAATGTACAGATTTCAATGAAAGAGTCTATTGCACGGCAGTAAAGTAACTGAATCCAAATAGAAAAGGACAAAAAAAAAAATTATGCAATCAGGTACTGCTACTCCAGCCAATTGTATGAGAGGTGCCTTCATGTATTTTTCTTTCTGATGACAATTAGTTTTGAAATAAACTAACTACAAAAGCTTTTGAAGTTTCTATAGAGGGCAAGGGACATGCTTCTGACACCACTTCTTTATAATTGCAGATTGGACTAATTGAAGACTACTTATACCAAGTAGAAGACAATTACTTAAAGAACAAAAGGCTGAGAACAGCTAGGAGGGAAAAAATGAAGAGGACTCAAAGTACACAGCAACATTAGAGACCAGGAAATACAAAACTGTCCCTTACCAGCCCTAAAGACATGGTCACACAGCAAACAAGAAAATTAACACTGTAGATATTTGATAGATAGGTCAACAAAACCACCTTTCCATTTAATGAGCCTTCCCCTCACTATAGGTTGTCTTTAGCAAGACACTCCTGCACTTCATTAGTCTTAACTGGATGGAATAAATGCCTTGTGAAAGGTTTATTTTAAATTGTCTTGTTTATTTAAATAGTAACATCCCGCCAAAAAGGGGCCTGTATCTTCTGCTCTGAGAATATTCTGCATCCAAAGCCTATAAAATCCTGCTGGCTTGATTATCGCCCAAGCAGCACTGAAAACAAGGATCCCTCCATCCTCAGAAGAATTCAGCCTTACATTGCCTTCTTTCCAGATTAATGCCTTACAGTACAGATATTGGTACAATCTATAGGTGAAAAGCGGCATCATGCACCTTACGGCTGCGACAGCTACAAGTGCAAGAGACACAATGCTGTGAAAAGAGAAGGAAAAAAAAAAGAAAAAGAGAGAGAGAGCCCAGCTGTTGCCCTGTGGTTAAGAACGTGAAGTCCTTCACTCTTGTCTGTGCCCTAAGGATGACATCCCCCCCCCCCCACTGGTTGGTAATTGTTTTTATAAAAATGAACAAACACACTCCAGGGAAGAGAATAACTGCACCTGCCTTCCCCAGTGCAAATCTCTTGGTTAAGGATCAGCGACACGTCTTGCACTCCCACAGCAGCAGTCTGTCGTGTAGGCACATCTTACGTCGCTTTGGTCTTCGAGGGAGCACGGGTTCCCAAATCCCCGGAGAGCTGTCATCAGTGAGCAAAGCAACGCACCTACTTTTCAATAGAGATCACCTTATCAGATGGCGTCTGACAGGCATCCCCAGCTGACACGCGCAGTCTCTTCTAAGGCTGGCGTTTCCTTTTTGTTCGCTGTGTTTTCTTTATAAGAAAATAACCTCACCCTATGAAAACAGCATTCAGTTCATGACGTTTTCTCATTCAAGGGTGACTTGAAAACAAAAAGATCGAAAGAAAGGAAAAATCCACTCCCCAGCCCTAAGATTTAATTAAAAATCCAGGACCTCAAAGGTATTTAGCCACTTAATTCCCATCCTCTATTTATCACAGATAGAAGTCTAAATCCTACAGATTTTTAGCTTCTAGAGACCATCTTCCTAGGCCCTCATAAAAGATTTTTGAAAACTAAGAAAGAACTGGCAAAAGCTTTGATGGTCCTTTGTTCATTGTTAACAGAGTAAGTATAAAGAAATCTTTTTGAGAAAATCTGAGCTAGCCTGAGCTCCTTAAACATGTGGGACAGAGAAACGAAGAATTATTGCCCTTCGGAGATGGCATTATTTTGCTATGGAGTTGGTTTTGTCAGATGAAGTTTTATGACACATAGTGGCAATCATCCATCTTTGATGAGCAGACACACACTAAATCAGAAAAACTGCTCCCCACGGATCATCAAGTCACAGACAACACACAGTTTGGTAAATCATGAGGCTCTTAAGCAAATACTCTTGATTTGATGCAAGGTGGCTTACAATTCCGCAATATTTAATGCAAAATTGGGTATTTTTAGCCAGAATGATGAAAAAGAATAAAGTGCGCTGAAAACGGGTGATCTTTGGGAACAAAAAAGCAACACTGCCAGTGAAAAACAGTTGTCTGTGCAACATGAACAAGTTGAGCCGAGCGCACTGAGAAAGATGTACCAGCCTCATCACGGAGCTTTGCCAGAGACCCAGATCCGAGATAAGACGTGACATTTCACTTTTCAGAAATCAGGTAGGGCGGAAAACCTGTGTTACGCTGCAGATCAATACACCACAGAGAGAGAAGGAGAGGGGCCACAGCCCAAATCAATCCGTAAAGTGTTGGAAACATCTAGGCCAACACCTGGCTACAGAGCCCTTTAGCCTCCAGAAAGCCCCAGACTAAAGCAGTTGTCAGGAGATGAAGTCAGCCATGAAACAACACAGAGCAAACATGAAAGGAGCTTCTGTGATGGAGAAGGGCATTGCTATTTTCCAAAAATACCCATCTGTAATGCACAGACTCCCAGGCCCAGATCTGCATAGTATTTTATTCAGGACCCTTTGAGAGTCAACTTTACTCCGTGAATATACCACGTTTTGGCTCGACAAGGTAGAAGAAGTGGCGGGGGGGATTTCTGATGCTTGCTGCATACAGTATAGTTTCTAAAGCATGAGATTCACTAGGATCACCTACAAAAATTAAAACACATACTACTAATTAACTTGCCTTTTGAAGAAATTGGAGACTGTGTTATAATGATTCTCTGGCCTCGTAGCTGGCGATTTCTGTAGGGTGATGACATACACCATGGCTCTTCTCATTCAGGAAACATTATTACGAGTTGGACTTCATTCCTCATCCTCCTTTTTGTTAAGGCACATTAAAAACAGCCTGGCCCATAGTCGCTGTGGCTATTTTAGGCCCGTACACAAGGACACATCTGAGACCACTCCCCAAGAGTTCCACTTTTAGGTCACTTCTCCTTCAAAGACTTGTTTCCAAATGAATGATGGGGGTTGGTTTCTCTCCATTACAGAATTTTTTTGTCACAAAAATGATTTATCTGTTGACAGCTAGGTTCACTGGCCCCAGGCAACTGATGTCAGTTGAAACAACTCAATGAAAAGCAAAGAACACTATACCACTTTAAAGAAGGGGGAGGGGAGATATAAATACCCTCTCCCCTAAGACTGCCTCGTAACTCTTCTGCTTGCCATTGCAATCCTTGCTTCCTTGAAAATGCCAGAATGTCTGCACTAATCCCTGGAAGGGACAACGAGCACAAGCAGAGTCAGCCCCTTCAGGTGTTAGGTATATGTTTACTGTTGGGTTACAACACTAATTACAGCTCAGAGAAGGCAGACCAGACAGCGGTTGGTCTTAAAAAAACATTTTTCACTTTCACTATTTGTGAAGGCTCTTCTGTCAAAGGGGTATGGTAACAAACGCTTGAAAAATACAAGGTTGAGTCAAACTGATATAGAGAATGGGTCTACAGCTAAAGTACCAAATTAAACACATCACCAGAAGAAGAAGATGAGATGCAGTCGTGACATCCAGTGGTAGGGACTAAAAGAGGACACGCACTAATGGCATCCTCTGCGAGGGATTAAATCAGTAGTCTGCTATTGCTAATCTCCCTCTGTAGTCAATGAGAAGGACAGTACTCAGAAAATAATTTGGAACACCTCAGTCACACTCCTGCCTCTGCAAATATCTCCCTCTACCTCTGTTTCACATCAAAGGTGAAGCAGAAAAGAATAGTTACATCAAGCTTTCCTTCAACTTTGACTATACAGATTGCAAACTCCCGAGAACAAGAACTATCTTAAGGTCCTCTCTAGGTGGCCTCTCAGGAATTAGCGTATTAATACTTCTAAACAAAATGCGACTTCAAAAGGACTCTCATATTGAGAAATCCATAAAATAATCGTGAGTTTACTGACATAGAAGACATCGGAGGGGTATTAGGCACCAGACAGTACTTCCAAAACAAAGTCCGTGGCTAAAATACGAAAGATCTATATACATATACACTGTATTATACTAACAACCCAGCTGAGAAGTTGTACAAATGTAACCTGTTGCTTATTCAGCGGCTAGATGTGATCACACCTGTTTAATCTCAAAAACCAGAGCAACAGCAAGCCACAGTTTTACATTTCCCCATTTGAACTACAATCATTGTCACAAGAGCCAATTTCATGTTGGGCTGTTTCTTGTCCTTGTTGCAATTCATCACGAGAAGACATGAGATCTAAGATACCTCGGCAAGGCATAGTCCATGAATAATACAGCGCATTACTTTGACCTTTTCAGTTTGCTTTGTGGTGTGATTGGCCAACCATTCCTGTCCTCCCCCGTTAACCACCCCATTAACCTGGGAGGAGAAGGTGGAACGGACGGACAATTAACCAGCAGAATACTAAAAAGGTTAACACAGGAACGCACAGCCCTGGCTTTCTTGAGCTTTAATGGGTATTAAGATTCTGCAATCTCTTTCGAAGTCTGCAGGGAAAAAATAAGAAATCGCACAAGATGAACTTTGTTCTCATTTCAGATTATAATCATGTAGTTCCTTTCAGATGTCACACTTGGATGATTCTAGTTTATGCGTGAATAAACCGAGAAGAATGTTTATTTTTACCCCTCTCAATATGGAGAATATTCAATTAGAGCGGTGAACTTTTTCTTTGAAGCTGGTCATTCTTGAGTAAAGGAAAATTGGAGAAAGTAGAGGCGAAAAAGCTCCATACGGCAGTCGTCTTCAAAAAGGTCACACATGCTACACTAACTACACCGGCTGAGTCATTCCAGTCATTTCCTAGTCAAAGAGAGGAAATGATGGAATTTTCGCATCCTGTGGGCTGTCAGCTGCAGAAAGCTTTATCTCAGTATTCACCAAGACTACCAGGGCAGGCACATCTCACACGTCTCAGGCACATGTAGAAAATGAGGCACGGTAGGTCTCAGTGGAATTTCAGAATTGCCTGGTGAAAGCAACTGGCCTTTTCCCTGGGTTTCCATACGTCTTTGTAAAATCTTCCAATTTCTTTTTTGAAAGATCACACTGTCATGAATGACACAGAGTTACACAAGCAAGTATCAGAATATGTTTTCTGAAGAATTGTAGTCAAAAGACCTCATCTCAAGGCTTCACATGAGCTTCTTTTGCCCGTAAAGATTTTCTGAACGTTACTCTGCTGGTTCCGTTACGACGACCTGGAATAGTTTGTTTTTCAGACGCTGCCATATTCTTGTCTTTGTACAAACGTGTTACTCTGAGTTGCTATTAATAGCAATGATATGAAATACTTACTTTAGATGGAAGAAGCGGTGGCAAAGAGAAAGGGACCTTTCCGCTACCCATTAGAACGCCAGATTTTACATTTATTATGGGTATTGACCGCAGTAATGCAGAGTCTTTTTTATTATCTC